ATAATTTACAGCAAGGTTTCAATAGGCTCTCGCAGCGCTTAGCTGCTCGGGCCTAATAAACAGTACAGTTTCAATAGGCTCTCGCAGCGCTTAGCTGCTCGGGCCTAATAATTTAAAATTACCTTAAAATCATATTAACACTACCTGTTTGTGGACAGTAAAAATTGCAACATAATAAAGTATTGTAGTATTTACCCAAATTTTGGGGTAGTAAATCGGATTGTGCTCGTGCACCAGAAATTATCCGGTCTCCTCTGGAGCTCAAAGCGACACAGACACAGGAGGTTAACCACCAACCTCCAACTGACTGCGTCTGAATGTAAGTAAAAACTCTATTTATTTCATGTTCATATGGTAAATGTTAACTTATTTTATGGTTCAGAAGAGTTGTCAGAGTGCTTTATGTAATGTACCATGTAAGCATTTGAAGCAGAACATTTTAATTGGTGACTACGGTGCTTTTTGGGGGTGGTTTTAATCAAAAACAGGGATCATTGTTAGAGGTAATTTTAATGTAAACAGTCACAAGAGATGCTGCATCGCGGGTTTGTGTTCACATGAACTTGTTCTGCATCATTTGGTACCAATATTTACTGGCGCTGCAACATCTTGACTCTAACGGTTTGTCAGCTAATTCTGTTTCTGTCTTTATTTACAGATCAACAGCATCTTCTATGACCTCAAGAAACTGCCATCAGAGGTAAAATGATAACTGAGAAACTGTTACTCAAGTAAAGGTACTACGAATAGGCCTGTCACAATAACAAATTTTTCTGGATGATAAATTCATGTTATTGTGTATTTAAACACATAACTTTGAATTTTAAATGATCTTTTCAATGATTTTCTAATTTAAGACAAACTTGTAATAAAAGTCAAACTAATATTCATAATTTCAGCAGATGATTAGGCTCCTGACGTGTGTGCTCTTTCACACAGATGTTACAGAGGATGAACACACTAGATTAACCATTATGAGGCCTCATCTATCACACACAGACTTCCAACAGCCCATGAAATGATCAGACTCAGTTTACTTCACTTTTATGCTGCAGGACTTTGCTCTGCGAACATTTACGTCCAATTATTCACGTTTCCAAAGAGCTTGAGGCGCTGCGAAAACCACAGCATTGTCTCTTCATCTCTTCTACTATCTGTATCTCCTCATCTATAAATTACCATGAGGCTCTGATAAAACACGTGAAAGCAATTATTAACTTCAAACAACAACAATGTATGTTTATCTAGAGGTCTATTTCTTCATTAATGCCAGTTCCTGATTACAGATTCTTCTCTTCTGAAAACAAGATAAAAATGATATAAAACAAGAAGTTTTTCCCATATTACAGGTGAGAAAATCTGCTAGTGGAGCTAGTACTTATTTATCAATGTTCAAATGTTATTGGCTTAAAATGAGGGCCTGCATGTTGCTGAAAAGTTTTTGTCTTATTTAAAGTACAATAAGATATTTGCACCAGAATCTGGGCAAAAATACTTGGTTAGATTTTGTATTCGCATTTTAGTGTTTCAACTTTAAACATGCTAATGATGCAAACTCCAAAACACACACACACACACACACACAGGCAACAGAAAAACACAGCAAGCGGAAAAATGCTGCAATAAAAATCTACAATTAAAAAAAGTACAAATGAAAAACACTGTAACAAGAAATGGAAGCGAAAATGTTTTACTTTTTTCTTGTATTATGACTTTATTCTCACATATTTTTGTATTATTACAACTTATAAGTTTATTAATGTAACATTTTCTCATAACTTAAATCTTGTATTATTTTGACTTTATTCTTGTAAAGTTATGACTATTTTATTATTTCTACTTTGCTCTCGTATTACAACTTCATTCTTGTAACAGACTTTATTCTCGTAGTTTTAAAGAATTTTATTATCCTGGCCATAATAAATACTCTCCCATACTTTTCAGTGTGAGATTCATTTGCAGTGGGAAAAAAAAACTACTATATTTTGAGGCTTTCTTATGTTTTTACCAGGAGAAACGGTAAGTGTGAACGGTGCTGCATATTAATCAGTGCATGAACAAATTGCGTTTAAAGACCTTTTTGATCTTTATAAGCCTCATGCTGTTTTGAATCCATAAGTTCAAACAGTTTATAGATAAGACGTCCTTTTTGGCACCCGTCCCACTGGGGAAACCACATTATATAAGTCTGTTTGGAGTCTTGTTGCTGAAAAGCGGCAAAAATCTGATTGTACTCTCTATGAACCAACATATTTGTTACACTGGTTGCCTTGAAGGCATCTGGACAGCTCTGAAGCCCAGGCACATCCAGATGAACAAAGGTTGATGCAGCAGAGGTGAGGAGTCGCCTTTATGCCGGCTGCAGTCTGGGGGAACATAGAGGCGCAGGTTTAAGATGTGTGTGTCTGCAATGTGTGTGTCAGGGGAAGTCTTATATCCTGTTGTATTAAGCAGCATTTGACATCCTTGCGCTCTCCCAACGCAGAGCCTTTCGCTGACACGAAGACGACACCAAAACCCAAAAACTCTTTGATGTTCCAGCTTTTAAACGTTTAATCCCAAACAAGCAGCAGATTTTAAAAGCCTCCTCAGTTTAAGAGTCTCTAGTTTTCCACATTTTTTCACCCACATGAATCCATAGAGAATCATGGAGACCTGTTTCCCTTCCAAGCATTCAGACGTTCCTGTGAACAGAAACTGGTCCTGATCGACAGCTCTTCAGATATTGTGAAGATATCAGCTGCTTGTTTGAGGCTCTGCAACGTCAGCATCATGCAGTGTGTGCAACACAGCGCCCCCAGTGGTGAGGCACATCTCATCACTCGCTTTTCTCCAATATATTTAAACACGCCATGCTGAAAATCAACATCTTTGACCATAAAAATTTTAAAATCAAACAACCAAATGAACAAATGGATTTCTTCTATCACTGTTAGTATTTGATTTGTCATTATGTGAGTTGAATAACTGCTCTAAAAACAACAAATAAAATATTATGAATGAAAAATAAAGTTAAAGAAAAAGACTTTCATAAAGTTTGGAAATCTATTGATCAAGACCAACATGGCTGCTTGGAGGTAAAAAAATATATGATTCATAAGTAGAAACCTTTTATAGGGATTTTGTGTAACTTTTCAAGGTATATTTCATTCATTATTTTGTAAAGAACATGCAGGCACAAAATTTGAAGGTTTCTTGGAAGAAGTTTCCCATAAGTCTACTGTGATGCAAAAGGATTGCGATGTTTTTGGTTGTGGTTAGCGAACTGAACAGCTAGCTGCGCTAACCCTCACAAAACTTTAGCATTAGTTCTGCTAATGCTAAAGCGCTATGTCGGCATTGTATTTTGTAGAAGTTAATGCTAAAGAATGTGAGTAAGGAAATGGCCCAACAGTAACGTCAACACAGATGTTGAACTTTATTTAACTGAAGGGTTATAAAACCATCAAGTAAAGACTAAAACACAAATGTTGAATTTTGTTTTGAACTTTGTTAGGTTCAAAACAAAGTCGGAGGAATCTGGGTGCGCTAAACATCTTCAACATTGGCTAAAGCAGTAGAGGAAACATTAACTATGCTATTAGCACATTAATGTCCACCTCTGGTCTCTGTGATGTCATAAAAATTATCCATGTATACAGAATACATTTCTGCTTATTCGAAGCAATTGTTTACTCACAGTTTTAGCTATAGTTAAGTGCATATTTGAAATATATTGTCTCAAGATGGGCTATGAAAAGTCTGCAGGTGACAAAGATAGAAGGACACGATGGAGAGGAAACAAGGATGTAGAAAACTGGAGGCTCTCGCCGGCTCCGACACAGTTTCAGAGGTCCATTAAATGAATAATGGAGGAGGCTAAGAGCATTTCCTCCATCTTAATGTGGAAAGAGGAGGAAGAAAGTTTTCAACGAGGCTTTTATGTAATAAGGGGGTAACCTTAAAGACATGGGTTCTCTGTATGATTGTATTGAATTATTTTACTAAAGATTTGAGCTGCGCATTTCAATTTCTCTCTACTTTCAGAGCTGTCCCCATTTTTCGAGCATTTTTCCCTGAGAAGAAAACTGGGAAAAGCGACCCATAGAAGTGTGTTCTCAACCTCTGAAGTCCTTCCCTGCACCCCCTCCACCCCAACATCTGCTTAAGCTCACTTTTCGGCATTCCAGCTGACTTAGCATCCTTTTCTGCAGATGCTTCTGTAGCTGCACAAGAAGAGAAAAAAACAGCAGTCTAAAAATAAATAACAGCTTTGAGTAAAAGTGTGTCAGGGAAAGAGCGATGACTTCTATGTTCTGAATTTCTACTGTTGAGTAGAAAAATGAGACTGAGATGAAGCTGTGAATAAGAATAAAACAGCAAAAAATCTGCAGTTTATGTTCACTTGTCATGCACAGAGATATCACTTTTTAATTATTTGAACCGTTCTTGATGTAAGGACACCATCCATTTTGGATTTGGTTGTAAAAGATTATTTAGTAAGTAATATATTGTGGTGATTAATCAAATAAAATAAATACATGAAATTTTATTTTACTAAAAACATTTTAATGCACAAAATGCAATATGATTTAAACATGTCAAGTTTGAAGTACGAAAACTTTTTAAAGTGTAAAAAGATGGGAAATGAAACATTTAACATTTAAAAAAAATTTAAAGGCAATCTTCATTATATTATACTTTAAGTCTCAAGTTTGGAGAAGATTCTGTATGAATGATCACAGAAAAAAGTTAGTCCTCTGCAAAGAGAACATGGCGTCCATTAAGGAAGTTGATGCATGTAGTAGATGTTTCCTGCTGAGGTATTTGAGGATAAACTCCATTTCTATTGTGTAGTAAATGCACTGAGCCTGTGTCTTCTAGTTAAAGTAATCCTACTCCTTTAACACGTTCCGTCTCTTTTTTTGGCAGCGATTCTTTCTGTTCCTCAGTCTCTCTCCTAAGATGCTTAGTAGCGCTTAGCATTCGTCAACAGCTCATTGGTGAAAGAGAGCGTTGCGCAACACAAGTAATGATCCGACTGGAAAACGGCGTGCTAATTGGGAAAACATAAGTTGGCGAAGCTTCTTGGAGATTTTTTAAAATCAAGTTTGAATCATTTTGTTGAGTCATTACAGCTCCAAGTCCATCGACTTTGTGCATTGCACACCCCGTTTGCTAGACAACTGATGCATTGTTCTTACCACTAAGCAATTTTCCTTCATCTGATGGGGAACTTTGGTTCGAATGGCTGAAACCAGCAAGACAATGGTCCTAAACTGGCAACACAGAATGTTGCTAAAAATCCCAAAATTTTAATACATTTCGTCTTATCTGGGCTTATGATTTTTATACAAAGGAAAATGTATGCAAAACATACATACATCAAAGAAAACGGTTAAATATTTGGGGCTTGCCAAAAAAATGGCACCGTGGGCTTCTGCCACTGCAAGTCTGGCTCTGGCCAAGTGTTTTAACTCCCACATCTAATTAAATACAGGTACATTTGTTACTGCATTTGTGGATTATTCAAATTTATAATTAAATATGCATATTTTCCATAGTTCTTTTCAAAATCTACTGATTTATTTAAAAGTGTATCGGAAACCAACCAAGTTTAACTAAATCTAGCAATTTTGTCCAGAAATGTGTGTTAAAATGGTTTACAAACTGCTAAATCAGCTCAGGATGTCTCATTATGTTGCCTCCAGTTTATATATGTTTGCTTCCATTGTGTCGGCTGAATCCTGAAGCATCCACAGTTGCTTCAGGATCTGTGGATCCTGAAGCATCCACAGTTGCTTCAGTTGATTATATATCAACTGAAGCAACTGTATATATTCTAGTTTAAACATATATAAACTGGAAGCAAACAGTTTATATATGTTTGCTTCCATTGTGTCGGCTGAATCCTGAAGCATCCACAGTTTCTGTTGTGGCCTCGGCCACCAACTGGGACCAATCTGTTGGTCAGGTGGGGCTCAGCGGTAAGCAGCCGAGGCCCGTCCTGCCAGCTCAGACCCCGCTCAACCCATAAACACACAACCCGCTGCAGAGCAAACCGTGCAGTCCATTCTGAATGTTCCCAAAGGGAATTCATTGTTCTACAAATTGTGATATTTCTGTTTCGTTTCGGCCAACATTTAGATGGAAATGGAAATGTTTGTATCCGACAGGAATTAGAATAACCTTTCTCACTGCAGCCAATAAACAAGGTCAGTGATGCTGAAACTGACATGCTGCCAGCGCCGTGCATATGGAAAGGCAGTAGACAGGAATAATGTACAGTTATGCACCAAATCTTTGAGCTACTACTAATTTTATTATGTTTGTCCCATGTACCAACAGCTTAGGGTTTCTGAAGGACGTTTGGACTTTTTTCACTCCTTTTCCATGCAGGCTGCTCTTTGTAAAGCCACTAAAATCTGAGCTCTGACCCAATAACTGACGGTTAGACACTTTAATCCAACTCCAGTTTGTTTATTTAGAAAGTCCGGTTCAATCCTGTGAATGCCCTATTAAAGTGATAAAATAAATAAATTAAAAAAAAGCGCTCTGGTTGGATTGAAGTGAACTATGTTGCGGTTTAATTCATGTGAACACCAAGCGGACCAGAGACCGCTCCTAAAGCTGGAAGTGGACTACAGTGCAGTGCATTCTGGGTAAATAAAACCAAAACAAACACTAGCAGGAGAAATGACTCGTGGTCTTTTACCGAAGACTAGAAATATCCTACAAAATCTAAAATCTGACTCTACTCCGTTTTTGTTAACATTTTGTGAAAGAAGACATTGCATTCAGTGTCTTCTTCAGAGGTTTGTGTACCTTCCTTCAGTGGTTAATAGTGCAGCGCCCCCACAGGTGAGGATGGGAACAGGTTCCTCAAAGAGTTTGGAAAGGAATCTAAATTGCAAAATTTGTTTCATTTTCAATTTCTGCAGATCACTTTCACACTGCATTGTGTCAAACAAGCCAAACACTTTCAGCAAGTCAATGAAAAATAGGAAAAATATCATTTTTGAAAAGGCTGATTTTAAAGGCTGATTTAAAAGGACTGAAAAGCAATAAATGATCATCGGAAGGACAATTCATCTCTCAGGGCTTTGAATGTTTACAGTCATCGTCCTTTTGGAAGACCAATTTGAATCAACCCTTTAACATTCCTGGCTCCTGTATGGAAATGTTGCTTCTAATGTTTCCTATTTTGTAAAGTTCACTCCTATAACTAAACACACACATTAGTGCTTCAACATAGTTGGAATGCCATTCTCTCTCTTCGCTTTTTATGTTCTGCTTTGTGCTCATCTGCAGGGTCAGTTTTGGGTAAAATGAGTGAAAATATGTAGAAAAGCAGCAACAGTCCAATCAGAAATCCTTAATGTTAGAGAGTGAGAAGGAATCATGAGAAATCAGCCAAATTAAAACTTTAGCACAGCAGCTTTTATGTTAAATACCACAGAAAACCTCTAATATATTTATTCCTGCATTCCCTCTGGACTGTTGGACAAGGCTGCCCAAAGAGCGGCCCGGGAGCCATTTGTGGCCCCTGACCCCCATTCTAGAAGAGTATAAGTTTGGCCCTCGAGCACAAGCTGTTGATGCAGATGGACACTTAATATTTATTTAGGACAAGATCTCACACATTCACTTAATTCATTAAAATGGAAAATATTATATACTATGGAAAGTTTTAATCTTTTATAAAGCAGATTTCTGCTAAATAGTGGAGCCAATTTCTTTGTGTTGCTAACTTAGCGCACTTAGCTTCCCTTAAACATTTATTTTGCTTAAATTCTGATGTGCTAATTTACCTGGCAGCTTTGTAAACTTTCAGCTAAATAAAATTTAACATAGATGGTCCAACTAGAGAACAAGATTTAAACATGAATACAATACCTAAGAGCAATAAGGAACATGTAATTTAGCACTTAGCTTAAGGTATCACTTTAGCATTAGCTTCTGATACATACTGTGTTGCTGTAGCTTTTTAGTGTTAGTGAAAGTAATATTTATGGTTATTTCTTTCGGGTTAGTGCTGCTAACTTTATAGTTGGTGATCATCACTGATATTCATTATGCATTTTTTCTTCCTTTGAGCGCTGTTAGCATAGCTAATTTTTCATTTAAAGAATTAACAGTTTTGCTAAATTTGAAAACATTTAGAGCTTAGCTTCACATAAATTGTTTAAAATCTAAAGCGCATATTTACTTGTAAACTTTCAGCTGGATAAAGTTTGACATCTGTGTTGAAGATTTGGTTATCGACTGTTAAGTATTCTTCAAGTACTTAGACGTTTATATTCATGCTCTTATTTTGAAGTCTGTTTACGCAGCAATCTTGTTTTCTCTCCTCAGTTTCTCCACCCGCTTTATGTTGCCATGTTAGGTATTAAAATGGTTGAAGTTAGCGCTTTAGCATTAGCTTAAGCTAAATACCATGTTGGTATAGCTCTTTAGCCTTAGCAGAACTAATTTTATCAGTGGTTTTAGAGTTAGCTTAACTAACTTTTAGCCAGTCAATAGGGTGAAATAAAAAGAAGGAAATTAAATATTTTCATAATCACTGTTTTTGTGCTCGGGACAGCAACTTTAGACCTCACTGTAATGGCAGCTGCTTCTGCTACAAGAGGAACAGTCCCAACAATGATTGACCCCTCAACTGATGTGTCAGTCATCAACCCATGTGACTATTTATCACGGTAAATAGTCCTGGCTGTGTCTGAATCAGCGCGTCGCCGATCCGTTCACTCTCAGACAACAGGTTTGCTCTCTGCAAGAGCTGTCACTGGCTTCCCACTTGCTCAAACGGAGAATGAGAAAAGTGCAGAAATCAGAATGGGAGAGCGAGGAGCTGACGTTCATCACTCGAGTGCCGAGGCTTAGCCTAAGAGGCTTGAATAATCAGTATGCTAAGCTGTCAGGGCGTGCGCTCACACCTACCACACGCTTACCAACTCCTGGGCGCTTTTTAATCAAAAAAACGCCAAGAGGCAGCCGACAGCGCCGAGAGATGAGCTTTAGAATATCTGTTACACTTTTCACTGACATTAACAAACATAAGCCGCAGAGACGCCTGTTTTTTTTCGGTTTCCTCTACTGTCTTGTTTCATGTGCTTACTTCATTTAATAATGTTCAGTTCCTGTGGTTAAATGTTTAAAACAAATGTACTTCCTGCATGCAGAACTCCTCCACTGGCCTGCAGAACCTCATTGTGGACTCAGAAGGCTCCATTCATCATTTGAGCTGAGTCATCTCAGAGAAACGGTGGCAATAATGGATAAATAATCGCGCTGCATTCACACACGGTGACGTAGCTGCACCCTGTCCGAGCTGGGGGCATTCAGAGGTCAAACCTGTGTGGAAAGGAGAGCTACCACTCGTTTTCGACTCGCTGCAGGAAATGACCTTCCGTTTAAAGTCAGTGACAATCTACAGATGATTCCAAACTCATCTCTGAATACTTATACAAAAACAAGGCGTTGTGTCGCTCCACTATCAGCTGATCAGAGCTTCCTTGTCATCTCTGCTGGAACTTTAAATCCGAATGACGTTATCTGTTTAGATCGAAACGGGAGACTGAATCCGACTCTGCGTGTAAACTGCAGGAAGCTTCCTCACTGCTTATCAAATGTTAAACATCTGCGGATCTGATGCGATGCCAAGTTCACCTCTTCCTCATGATGAATCTGCTTAGTATTTAGTCTTCAGACAGATGACTCTACCCAACTCATGGTACCTGTCACTCTACAATCTGCACTGTTAGCTCATTAGTGAAAGAAATACTTCACGGGGATATTTTTATTTTTTTTTTTTCATTACAATCGAAAAAACTGTATCTGATTTAAAGAGAATAACTAAAAGATAAAAAATGGTTTAACTTCAATTTGCTTGGCTAATTTCAC